TATTATAGTTCATTTTCAACATTGTCCAGTAATTTCACCTGTTGTCCCTCTGTTTCTGTGCTTTCCCCTTACACTACCAATGGTATTATGTTTTTTTTATAAAAATCATCATGGGGATATTTAATGAAACATTTGTGAATCATAGAATATTGTTGGGGCCGATTAAAATGATTGGGGGAGGAGAGCTGTGGCAGTTTGGAAGAAACAAGATGAACCATTAGATGATCATTGTTGAGCATGGGTACTGGGCACACAGAGAGGGGTTATTATGCTATTCTCTATAACTTTGTATTCATTTGAAATTGATTACATTTAAAAATTAAAAGGCAGATTTGAAATTTAAATGAGATAGAGGTATAGCTAAGAAATGGTTCCAGTCTTCAGAAAGTCTCAGAAGAAAAAGAAATACCAGAAGACAGCTAGCAAGAAAAGATGAGGTTTTTCATGGTCACTGTATCTGTAAAAGAGAGCAGAAGACCTGTGTTTTGTAAATTATGGTTATTTTATCTTCACGTACTGATTTAAGACTTCCCTGTGGCAAATACTATCACCTATTTATCTCTAATTCCTTCCATAGTAACTAGGTTAGTATTTGCCTTAATAAATGTTGAACCTGAAAGGTGAATAGCTAAATGAGTTAATGAATGATCAAATGAGTGGAACAAGTAAGCAAGGAATCATCTACACACAGAACACTTCTTTATAAGTTACTTCTTTTTATTTTCCACAGATAACCTATTTATCAAGGACTGATTAAATTCATATAATCAATAGCCTAGCATATTTAAAAACCAGAACAGTACATCCCAGATAATTCTTAGTATGAGAAATTCTAATTTCTTTTATAGAGTTTTTTCTTCTTTGCTTTATCACAATCAGTAAACTGATGGATGAAGTCCAAAGTGGGGCCTTTATAGACTCTTTGATTGACCCTCTCTGATGCTGGCTTTAAGAAGTGAACAATTCCATAATCAGATAGCTTATCACCCTACTTACTGAAGAACAGGTACGGTTAGAATAGATATTTCACTGGTCCCTTTGAGTCCCAGAGTGTAAAGAAAGCTATTTTGAACTGTACTTGATCCAATACTGCCACCTATGGACAACAGTAAGACTTGAAATATAATCCATGGCTTTTTGTAAAGTGCTACTCCCAAAATTTATATTTTAAAATGACAGTGAAATTCATCCTTTGATGAAATCTTTCTTATGGTCATAGTTATCTCTCAAACTAACTTATTTCCTTTCATTTGATTTTGCCTAAAAAGAGACAAGAATATAGAAAAGTAAAAGAAGGCATCTTTTGTCTTAAACTCTGGTGTGTGTGTGCGTGCGTGCCTGTGCATGTGCTAGTCTTGGAGCTTAAACTCAGGGCCTGGGCGCTGTCCCTGAGCTGCTTTTGCTCAAGGCTAGCACTCTACCACTTGAGCCATAGCACCACTTCCAATTTTTTCTGTTCATGTGGTATTGAGTTGAACCCAGGGTTCCATGTATACTAGGCAAGCACTCTACCTCTAAGGCACATTCCCAGCCCACTTTTTATTTTCCTATTAAAACCATAGAGACTAGGAGTTGATGATCGGGAAGTTATACATTACAAGCCTGGAGAGTACCTAAAACACTATCCACGTCAGCACTCAAGAATTAGTCTTGAATTCAGTATTGGTTCTCACATGGCTGAGTGGAATCCAGGAAAGCTGTGGCATAGAGGATAGAACCGGACTGAGGTGCAGAGCCTTTATTTCAGCCTACTTCATTATTAACCTACTCTGAGACTTGATGTCTTACTAGGTCTCATCTGAAAAAGTGACCTTCAACTTGATTTTTGAACACTACTATCAGTTAAAATAGTTGAGTGTAGTCTGGGCCTAGAACCTTTAGAATGCATTTGTAATTTAAGTATGCATTACGATTGGAACCAGACCCTGAAGTCATGGTGGATGGCCTGGACCCAGTGTTGGCTCTGGGTCCTGGCTGATTCTGGCTATATGTCCCTGTGACTCTGTTTCCTGGGCGGTAGAATTGGATACTTCTTCATGGGTTACTCTGAGGATTGAATGTTAATACACGGCAGTGTCTGCAATATAGTTGGCAATCCAGAAATACACTTATCCCTGTTTGCTTTCATCCATACTTCTGTTTCGCAAGTCTTCGAATAGTTTCTGACAGTACCTGCTTCTTGTCAGGTTTCATAACTAGGCTGTTTGTGGGTTTTTTTTTTTACCTTATTGGGGATTAAGAGGTCCAGGTTCCTGGAATAAAGGGGTCCTTATACTATTTTCTTATTGTTCTAAACAGCTGCCTGTGTTCCATATTTACCATATTCTGTCAGTAGGGTTTTTGTTTTCTTTCAAAACTCCTTATAAGCTGTGTACTCATAGTAGGCTGTTGAGATTTAAAAAAAATAAAATTGAAACTGCATACTAATAATAGAAACATAAATCTGTTTAAACAGATATTTTGATGATTTCTGATCTTAAAGCCTGGAGAAGCTATTCATTCCCCTGGATGCATCATTTGGGCTTTAGAAAAAGCCTTCCGTTTGCTTTTGTCATTGCAAGGGAAATGAGGAAAATGACATCTCCTTCATGATTCCAGGAAGAATGACAAGCAGATACAAGGAAGCCACTGTTCACAGTGTCCCCTAGATTTTAAGATTCAATTCATTAGATAGAATCCATATTTAATAAACATTTAAGTTGAAAAGCAAGAGTAAATCTATTTTTTTTTCTTTAAAGAAGCAAACACTTTCAACGTAGGCTCACATATGATTATCTGTAATTATTCTGTGGTGTATCAGTTGTTTTAATTGAGTGAAAATTGTGTAAGGAGTCCTACTTATCCCTTTATAGAATTCTTTTATTTTGTTGTTGGTCATGGGGCTTGAACTCTGGGCTCAAGGCAAGCTCTCTAACACTTGAGCCACCATGCCACTTCCGGTTTTCTGGTGGTTGATTAGAGATAAGAGTCTCAGGGCCTTTCCTGCCCAGGCTGACTTTGAACTGTGATCCTCAGATCTCAGCCTCCTGAGTAGCTAGGATTACAGGCATGAGCCACTGGTGCCCCTATATAATTCTTTACTATATATTTATATAGATTACATACATTTACACAGATACAGCTTTTTTTTTTTTTGGTTGTGGGGCCTGAACTCTGGGCCTGGGCTGTCCCTCAGCTCTTCAGCTCAAGCCTAGCGCTCTACCACTTGAGCCACAGCACCACTTCTGGCTTTTTCTGCTTCTGTGGTGCTGAGGAATCGAACCCAGGGCCTCATGCATGCAAGGCAAGCACTCTACCACTGAGCCACCTTCTCAGCCTAGGTACAGCTTTAGATAGGTTTATTTTTTGTGTGCAGTACTGAGCTTTTTCAGTCTTGTCCCGACCCGCAGGACATCAGCGAGGGCAGTGAACCTAAGTTAGAAGGAATGAAGGGAGAAGAGACACGAAGAATGACAGCAAGACAAGGGTTCTGATCAAGCTACAAATTTTTATTTTTCACACAGGGGTATTTATATGCTTGGAATAAGGAAGCTTTTTTCATTGGCCATTAAGGAAGCTTTTTCATTGGCCATAGCAGTACAGGATGTTTACTTAGGGCAGGGGGAAAGGGTGGTTTTAGCAGCTGCAGGATGTTTACTTGGGGCAGGAGGAAAGGGTGGTCCTTAGCAGTTGCAGGATGTTTGCTTAGGGCAGGATGAGGGTGGGATTCTGTAAACTCAGCCTCAAGATGTTCCTGTGAGATAGTCAAGCCTATTATGTTGAGAGACTCAACTTTTGGCTCCCGACAAGTCTCAGTTGGTCCTCTACCATTGAGCCATAGCTCCAGTTCCAGCTGTTTCTTGGTTAATTGGGGAGAAAAGGCTTGCACATTTATCTCCCAGCTTCAAACCCTGATCCTCTGATCTCAGCCTCTTGAGTGGCTAGGATTACAGGTCTGAGCCACCAGTGGCCAGCTCTTCATCGTTTCTTTTTCTCCAAAGATATCCTTATATAATTATTACATGTTGTATGATGATCTAATTTAGCCTGTCAGTTTATTTGCTGGAACCAAAATTACCTGGGCATACTAATTGTCTGTAGGCTTTTTTTTTTTTGTATGTTGTATATACTTTTCCTTGGAGAGTTGATATAAAAATACCACTTGTCTTTTTTTTTTTTTTTACTGTAAGCCTTTTTGTGCAGAAGAAAAAGTAGTACTAGAGTTTTGAACTCAGTGCCATAGCCCTAGCCCTTTGGCTCTGGTTATTTTTAAGCTAGAGTGTTGATTTTTGCCTGAATTGGCCTAGACCATGATCCTCCTATTTACATTTTTGTCCATAGTTGATTGAGATGGGGAGGGGGGAGGAGGGTGTCTCACAAACATTTTGCCCACTCTATGTCCCGAGTAGCTAGTGTCACAGGCATGAGACACAGGCCCCGAACTTTCTTTGGGCTTTTTCAAATCAAATGAATGATCTTACATTTTGTATAAGTTGCAAGGTTTCATTTTCAGGAAGTTCAGTGACTTTTAAACATTGGGATAAAATAACACCTAACCTTTACCATCTCAAACTTGGATAAGCTACAAGTCAGCAGCCGGAGGAACAGTCACATCATTATGCAGCCATGCCATTGTCCCTCTGCCTAAGTTCATCTCTGTACCATTAAATGCTAATTCCCTGCTGTCATCTGTGTCCCTCCCTCTCACTCCCAGCCTCTGGGAACCACTGTTCTATTGGCTGACCCTGCATCTGATTGCTCTCAGTACCTCACAGAAGCAAAATGCACAGTGATTTTTGTTGTTTTTTTTTTCTTTTGTGACTGGTTTCTTTCACGCAGTCCAGTATCCCAGGGCTTATCTTCTGTCAGAGCTGAATGGCATTCCATTCACATGCTTCTATGCTGTCATTCACAGAAACCTGGGTTGATTCCATCTCTTGGCTATGGTAAAGAATGCTGCCATCCACACCTATACAGATTAATTTTGATAGAACTCTACAAAATACTTCTACTTTCTCTAGGTGGTTGGTTCTTGCTATTGCCATGGTCCGCTTTTATATGGAAAAAGGAACACACAGAGGTTTATATAAAAGTATTCAGAAGACACTTAAGTTTTTCCAAACCTTTGCCTTGCTTGAGGTAAGTTTCTTAACGTGTTGTTTTCTATGCTATATAATCGGTTTGAAAATATATTTTGTTGAGCACTATCAATCTTTATCCTAGTTACATACCACCTGTGGTATATCATTGACTTGTGATTTTTTCCCCCCTTACAGATAGCCCACTGTTTAATTGGTGAGTATTTGCTTTTATTTTATATTGTTATCACAGTGGCCATTAGGGCAGTAGTTGACTTGTTTTTCTCTTCAAGGTATTGTTCCTACTTCTGTGCTTGTGACTGGGGTCCAAGTAAGTTCAAGAATCTTCATGGTGTGGCTCATCACTCACAGTATAAAACCGGTAAGTGATGCGCACACTGTCTCCTTGAATCTGCAGGGTAAGTTTTCCTTAATAGGGATCTAAGCTGTTAATATATTTCAGGAAGCAGAACCATTTGGCAAAAAGGATGTGGTCTCAAATTCAATTATCATTGTACATTAGCATATTGCTGCAGTAGACTGACTTTGAATTTAAAAATGAACAAAAGTTGTCATCTTTCATTCTCAATGTATTCTTTTCCTATGTTTTCTGACTTTTTAACTTAACATTCATCTTCTGCCTGAAAACTAATCGAAAGTTTCCTATTGAAGTTTCTTATCAAAGTTATTCTCCTTGATTACATAATTGAACTTTTTGATATAAAGAACTCATTCCTCCCCCCACCCCCACCCCCCTCCTTATTTAGCACTGAGTATTGTAGCAACAGGCATGAAGTGAATGTAATTCTGTGAATCTGATCAGATGGGAAAGACTAAAAGTTAGACTTTTCAATGAAAGAATACCAAATCAGAAGGATCTGACTAGGATGTCAGGGATGGGCTGGAGTACTGTCTTCTCCGTGGCATATAAAGCCCCTGTTTCTCTTCATTTAGAAAAGAACAAAAAAAAATTCCCCACTAAATCTCAGACGGAGGGACTAAATACAACATGGTGACTGTAGTCAGTAACAATGTAAACATACAGTTGAAAATTGATAACAAGAGTAGATTTGAAGTGCCTTCAGCACAAATAAATGAGAAGATAACACCTATGCAAATTGGCTTCATTTAGCCATTCCCGTCATTCATACATATTTTCACACATCAGAAGTGTGTACTATAAATATATACAGTTTTAATTTGTCCATTAAAAATCACTTTCACAAATGAGAGTTGAGAAACTTGGGGACAAGTGAACTTATCATTTACATAGGTATGACAGGAGATAGACCTACTGACCGAATCTAATTCATGGCTTAAACCTGGTAAACAAAACAAACACCACACAGACTCTGTGACGATACTGGACCTTTTAAAGCCATGTCAGAAATATTTCCCAGCTCAACCCTTCTGACCTTCTTGACTGCCTCATACTCTCCTGTCCACTTGAGGACAGATGTCTGGCCTCCATTCCTCACACGCCTTTCTTGTCTCCTCTGTGCTTTGAGGCTGACACCCAACCTCCTCTCTGCTCCCGCAGAGCCTCACTGGCCTCCGGTCTGCATGGGGACAGATCGCTGCCCTTCTGCCCTTTTACTAGTCTACACTTCATCCCTCTTGACTAGGACCTTTCACCCAACTTCCTTGACCCACCTGGTCCGGCACCAGATCGTAATACGCACTTGCCACGCAGGGAGCCAGACTCTACTAAGATTGCTTAAAAGCAGTAGCATCCTATTAACAGCATAGAAGAAAGACTGTGTTAGGCAGTGGATAAATGGAACAGTCAGGACAGGACCACAAGGATCTGAAGAATGAGAGAGAAGAAAGACATAAACAGGAGACCCCCACATTAATTAGAGAGGCACAAAGAAAAGCAATGAGCCCCCAAAGACAAAAACAAACAAACAACAACAAAAAACAGCCTTCTAGGAAAATCAAGGAGATAGGGGGGTTGGGAGAGATAGGTGGAGAATCAAGAAAGGATGCATTGTACTCACAAACTGACATGTTGAATTGAAATTCCTGTGTACAACTACATAAGCATAATAAAAAAATCTTCTATCCATAAGAGAACCTTCTCTGTTCCTTTTATCTTTCACAGGATCTGTCTCTTAGTATTATGATTTCCTTTTATCTGAGAACTGTATTCCACTAGCATCTACCAACCATTCCTTAATTAATTCAGCCATATTTATGGGATACATTCTTCTATCTGGCCTTGTGCTAATTTCTGAGTTTACAGCAGTGAATAAGACAATCTCGACTATTATCACACTGGATGTTGGGGAAGTTACCCAAGTGTTGATTATGTGTCAGGTACTAATTGTGCAGCTACTGTGTGCCTGACACTATAATGTTAACAATATAACATGATTCCCACCCTGTAGCGTCAGTAATGAAGAGAGAAGCTAAAGAGATAGTTACACAAATGCTTGTTTAATTATATTCATGTTCAGTGCTTTGAAATAAGAGCCCCATATGCATTGTAGTGTATTGTTAGGGTTTAGTCTGCTCTACAGAGCTACAGACGGCTTTCCCAAAGAATAGACATACAAGGTAGATACTGACAGATGTTCAAGAGCTAGCTGTAATAATAAAAAAAAGGAATATAAATCAGCCAGGGTTTTAATACATATTTGAAGAACTGTGAGAACCAGGAAGGCGAGGGAGTTACCTGCTCAGGTGAGAGAATTTGGGGAAATGTACTAGTTAGCTTTTGCCTCACTGTGAAAGAAAACTTGCTCCGTTTTAGAGATTTCTGTTCACTATCCTTGGCTCTGTAGATGCTGGGGCCGTGGGGAGGCAGAACATCATGGTGAGGGAAGCTGTGGCAGAGGCTGCCCACTTCATGTGGACAGGAAGGGAGAGAGGAAGGGACCAGGACCAGGTATCACCTTCAAAAGCTTGGCTCCAGTCACCTAACTTCTTCCAGCTAGGCCCCACCTCCTCATGTCTCTACCACCTTCCCCAATAGCGCCACCACCTGGAGATAATCAGTCTACGAATCTGTGGGGGCACTTTTATATTCAAACCTTAACCTTAGGCAAGTTTTCTAGAGTGTGTGATCTTTCTGGTGGATATTTAAAGATGAGGGGAAAAAAATTCACTATGGGAAACAGCAAGGAAATGATGTTCTAGTTAGAAAATACTCACATACATAAAGGCAAAAGTTCTGAGTATTTTTTGGGAAATAACAGCCAGTGTGGGGAGAAAGTAGATAGGAGGGTTAGGGGATTAGGAATGAAGATTAAGGAGAGATTTCTGAGCTCAGGTTATAAGGGACTTTGAATATTGAGCTCAGATGTTAGGATTATCCTTTTATCCTGTTAAGCAATGGGGGGGACCAGTGAACTTTTAAGTCGTAAGATTTAGCTGATCCTGTCTGCTTTGTTTTTAAGAGAAAGCCTTCATCCATGAGAAGAATAAAGAGAGAAGAAACTTAAGAAATAATTAGGCCCTGAATGAAAATAGTAGTAATGGGGACAAAGATGCATGGGGAGATTAGAATTTGTACCATGATAAACAGGGTTGGTAGGATTGAATGACTACTACTAAGTTGGAGCTGGGATGTAGCTCAGTGGCAGAGTGGGTTCAAGCTCCAGCACCACAAAAAAGTAAAAACTTGAAGGGTCAGACTGTTCTTATTCTGCTTCTTCTCAAGTAGTGACATTGTCCTGAGATAGTAAAATTGCTGGCTGGCATGAAGCAAAACCAGCCAGTAGTTGAACATTCCTTTACATAAGGTAGAATTGAACTCTCCTGTTAGAAGAAATTCCAAAATGGGGACTAGTTTCCCCCGTATAGAAAACTTGTCTAATTTGAGCACCCCATGATGATAAATGACAAGAGATAGTTTAAAAAAAAAGTTGAAAAAAAAGGTTGAGGTTTGTACAGCAACTGTGAATTTCTCTGTAATTTCTGCAGATCCAGAATGAAGAGAGCGTGGTGCTTTTCCTGGTCTCCTGGACTGTGACTGAGATAACCCGCTATTCCTTCTACACATTCAGTCTCCTTGACCACTTGCCATACTTCATTAAATGGGCCAGGTGGCGATATCTTGTCCTTTGCTTTCTCTGTCCTCTGCCTGCTGATTTTGTGTGTTCAGCTAACACCAGATTATTAAAACAGGGCTGTAACTCTACAATGCCAGAAATGGCTAGTTTATTCTAGTGATAGTATAACTTATATTCTAAAAGCTTAATTTTAATGATGACTGGAGATGAATCACATCAAAATACATTTAGTGTGAAATCAATATAAAACTAATCATATCCTTAGGTGATCTCAGAAATGGTCGATAGTTTTTCTTGGAAAGCACCCTATTGTGTTAAAGGAACTGTGCTAAAAAAACATATCGTTTTGTGTTAATGATTCACATTCATATTTAATCTGGCAGCCACAATTTTTAATTTCTTACAGGAAAATGCCATTTTGAATCTTACTTTTTAAAAATTTTGCACTAAGTAGCATAAGTATTTCCAAAATCACACATAATAATTGTATTATTTGAAATAATAATCATTTAAAGCAAAAGAGGGAATACTGTTCTTTGTGAAGTTTGAATTCTTCGATAACTGACATTTCCAATTATTCTAAAAGAAAATCTGCTGCTTGGAGAACAAATCACAAGCCTGCATAGATTTGTTCATTGTTTGTTGTATTTATCATAGAAATCACATAACAACAGTGACATGTAATACCTGACTGCCCTCAACCTGAGATGCAGGTGTGCACCAAACAGCTATATCCTCTGAATATAAACACACACAAACTTTTTTTTAGTAGAGTAAGTGTAAGGTGTATATCCCATATTTGTAGGTAAAAAGTATATTCTTAAGTTTTTGTTAAACTACAGAAGAAACACATTTTCATTACAGAAAGCTCTGACAGCAGTATGTATAATAACCACAGAAATGTCCTGGATTCATTATCTCTAGAGGGAAGTAGTATGGAATTTACTCATCAGGACCTTTTCATAATAAAAATATAAAAACACAGATGTGAGTTATTTAAACCTAAACAGGGGTACTAGTACCTTTATACTTTATAGCTATCTATCTATCTATTTAATCTAGCTATCTATATCGATATCTTTTTATATAGAGAGGGATCTATATCTAGTATTATTTAATCTCTAATATTCTAAAGCTGCATACTATCTTTTTTTTAATTTAATTTTATTTTATTTGTGAACATACTGTACAGAGGGGTTACAATTACATGGGCAGGATAATGCGTACATTTCTTACCAAGCATTGAGCTGCATACTATCTTATAATATAATTGAATCACTTCTCGCTTGATAGAATTTAGATAATTTCCAGCCTTCTGATACAATCAGTAACGCTTTGAGATATTATAAACAACTCAGTATCACTATTTGTTATTTTTAAAGCACTGACAGCTAGTTTGAGACTTGTTTTAGATCCCATAAGTTAAAAGCCTAACACTTTCTTCTTTTGTGACTTCTTTTTGAACTCATGAATTATACATGCTCAAATATAATAAATTAGAATATATAAGTAAATCAAAAGGAAGGAAAAAACTTTACAATTACTTATAATCTTTCTACAAGGATATCAGTTTTAGTTGTGTTATATAGTTTTCTTAGACTTTCAAAATGTTCTCTAGCTCTCTTTTAGACATTCTAAAAAGCTTTGAAATTTATCATTTGTGCTGAGATATTATTGTCTGTCAGATGTGTTTTTGTTGGGTTTCATTTTTATAACTGAAAACATAATCTAGAAATTAGGCCTTTATGAGGTTGCCATTTTTGCATGTGTTTGAGTGCATGTCATTTTGCAGGCTAGTCTTCAGACAGTCTGGCACCTTTAAAAATATTAACTCAGGACATCGTTTCCTTTTGTGTGTTCATTTGCCCAACTTGTTTGAAGAAGATACAGAATAGACACTGTACATTTTCCATAGATCTGGAATGTTAATCTTCAATACATTGTCTCTCTGCATTTAAGGGTGTATTCGCATGTCTTGATTGTCTAGAAAAGTACAAAAGTACATTGCTTGTTTAAATTTGCTGTTTTGAAATCATTTGTCAATTGCCTTAATGGGCCATAAGGTGTTGCATAAAACCTTTTCACATTGAAATATATGTGCTAGCTTAAAAGAAGTCATTTGATCTTAATCACAATGATCATTTATACCCAAAATACCTTAAAAAAATCCCAGCTGCCATGATATATTTGTCAACTCCATTAAATAATCTAAAACACTATTCATTTTTAAGTTCAAATGTGGAAGCTATTATTGTGAAATAAAGCTTCATGTTAGAAATGCCTACTGTCATGAGTTGACTCCTCTTAATTCTATGTGTTTGTTGTAAGTGTTCCTGAAAAGATCATAGTAAAGACAATTGCAAGGCTGGGTCATGTTGTCATATTGTTTTTCCATTTTAAATTCAAAAGCACATTTCTTCTGAAGAATTTTGGGTAATAATTGAGAATCCTCAAGGATGCTCCATATCTTTCTAAATGTGAACTACAGATAGCCAGATCTCCCATTGTTGCCCTGAAGTCTTGGATAGTTAATTTAATGAGATCTTTGTAAAATGCAAGCAAGGCCAAATAAATTATGTACTTTGTTTCCATTTAATGAGAACTTTTCACTGTTTAAGGCTTTAAAGAAGTTTATTCTCGGAGTCACTTTTTTCGCCCTCTTAAATAGTAGTACTATTAGCTGTGTGCTGGTGGCTCACACCTTTAATCCTAGCTATTCAGAAGGCTGAGATCTGAGGATCAAGGTTTAAAGCTAGCACAGGCAAGAATGTCTTTGAGACTCTTCTCTCCAATTAAGCATCAAAAAACTGAAGTGGAGCTGTTTCCCAAAATAGTAGAGTGCCGCCTTGACCAAAAAAGCTCAGAGACAGCCCTCAGGCACTGAGTTCAAGCCCTGTGAATGACAAAAACTAAAACAAAATGACCCCCAATATTACTAGAAATCATTTGAATGTCACATGAATAAAAAATAGATGCTCCCTCTAAAGAGAAAAAAAAACCAGATCTTCATAGTTTGGCTATTTTATTTCAAATGAGAATGTGAAATATTTTGTGATGTACAATTTTAAAAGTTGAGATATGAAAATGATATACCAAATGTCCAGAGGACTGGTAAGTTCCAGTGGGCTAGTGAGAACTAGAGCAGGGAGATGGCAAACAGGAAAAGTAAGGTTTTTTTTTCTTTGTTCTCTAGCCATTAATCTATTTAGCAAATGATTCTGCCCTTCTCCCCACGCTATCTCTTGTAGCCGTGGCCCATGAGATTTGCGTGATCTTTTGTCTCCAATCCTCTTCAGCTGACAGGTCAGACTTTTCCTTGTAGATATTTCTTCAAGCCAACGATAGGATTAAACAAAATGCAGATTAATTTGAGCTCCTTTTCAATAAAAAATTTGCTCTTAGTTTTTGAGGGCAACTGTTATTTAACAACTGAGAGAGGAATGGTTTGCCTTAAAGGAGTCATTGCTGTAGATCCTTTAGGCTCTTCCAACTGGAAACCTGGTGGATGCCTGGCTCACTCTACACTTAGAGTAAATAGCCAAATTAATCCCAACTGGTGATTTAGGATTTTTGAGTAGCACTTTCTCTCTCGGCTCTATTTTTTTTGGAGGGGGGGGGCTGGTGGTAGGGCTTGAACTCTGCACTTGGGCGCTGTCCCTCAGCTCTTCAACTCAAGGTGAGCGCTCTGCCACTTGAGCCACAGTGGCACTTGCGATTTTCGGACAGGTTTATTGGAGATAAGAGTCTCATGGCCTTTCCTGCCCAGGCTGGCTTTGAACTGTGATCCTCAGATCTCAGCCTCCTGAGTAGCTAGGATTACAGGTGTGAGCCACTGGCACCCAGCTTCCCAGCTCTATTTTTAACAAGCTAATTCTTATTGTAAGACCCTTCACTTGATTTGACATGAAAGCAGTTTTAGACAATCCTCACTACCTGTGACTTTGGATCTGTGTTCTGCCATGATAACTACTTTTTGGGGGGAGGGAGAGGGGGGTCCAATCGTGGGGCCTGAACTCTGGACCTGGGCACTGTCCCTCAGCTCTTCAGCTCAAGGCTAGTGCTCTACCACTTGAGCCACAGTGCGACTTCCGGCTTTTTCCTTTTTTTTTTTTGCTTATGTGGTGCTGAGGAATTGAACCCAGGGCCTCAGGCATGCAAGGCAAGCGCTCTACCACTGAGCCACCTTCCCAGCCCATGATAACTACTTTTAATTAGTAGCTACAGTTTTCCAAATACTTCTGAAAAATAATTGCTTTGTTTATTTCAAATTTTTAATATAAAATTAGATCATAAGTAGTCTTTTTAAAGAAAACATTTGATCAGTAAGTGACTAGCTGCTGTGAAGTGGAGGTGGGGAGAGTAGTTATGATTGCATGTGCCAAGAAAAGCTACCCTTATAATTCTTTGTTTTTTTTGTGGGGGGAGGGTCCGGTTGTGGGGCTTGAACTCTGGGCCTGGTTGCTGTCCCTCAGCTCTTCAGCTCAAGGCTAGCGCTCTACCACTTGAGCCACAGCACCACTTCTGGCTTTTTTCTTTTTGCTTATGTGGTGCTGGGGAATCGAACCCAGGGCCTCATGCATGCAAAGCAAGCACTCTATCACAGAGCCACTTTCCCAGCCCCTACCTTTATAATTCTTAAAAACAACACTGTATAGACAAGCATGCTGGCACATTCCTATAATCTCAGCTACTGAGGAAACTGAAGCAGGTTTTTTTTGGGCCAAGAGTTTCAGACCAATTATAACATTATAAGGAGACTCTCTCCAAACAAACAAAAAGCTGCATATACCTTTTTAAGTGTATAAAAGTATCTCAGTGGAATAAACTAATGTGACTTCTAATTGTATTAAGAGCTTTCCATTTAGAATGGAAACCGCTATTAGAAAACAGGATGATAATTGATCAGGAAATGATTAAGGCAGAAAAACTAACCTACTTGTGCTAGGTTATTGTAAATATAAACAGAAAGGAGAATTTCAAGGTTTAAATGCAGGAAGAGTTGAAAAGATGATTATCACAAAAGCCAACAAACATCCTAGAACAAATCATTCGCTGATTTTTTTTCTTTCTTCTTCCAGATATAACTTTTTTATCATCTTATATCCTGTTGGAGTTGCTGGTGAACTTCTTACAATCTATGCTGCCTTGCCCTATGTGAAAAAATCAGGAATGTTTTCGATAAGACTTCCTAACAAATACAACGTCTCTTTTGACTATTATTATTTCCTTCTTATAACCATGGCCTCATATATACCATGTAAGTATATATTTATGAGTTCTTTGACTTAACATGATAGGCAAGTTCTTTTTTTGAAAGATATCATAAGCTAGTGTTATAAGCTAGGAAAAATAATTTGAAAAATTGCTTACAAACACATTAAATTGTACAACTTTGATGTGGGGGGTGGAGTGGGGGTGATGGGGGGAAAAGGGAAGGGATGGTAAGGGGAAACAAAGGAGGAGGTAACAATGCTTGATAAGAAATGCACTCATTACCTTGCCCATATAATTGTAACCCCTCTGTACAGTATTTTCACAATAAAAAAATTTCCATCCAATCTCATTCATTTATAATTTAATAATTGAAAGAAATGTGTGAAAACTTTACCATTTGTGAGCAAAAGGGTGAGTAAATTAATGTACGTGATTGCCTTTTCAAATGCCTTTGCTTAATATGATGCAATTATTTAAAAATAATGAAACCGTTTGCAAAGTTGCTTCTGTGAATTGCTTGTATTTGGAACATGAACAGTCTGTCTAAGAGAATGTAAGATGTTCCTTTCTACTGATTACAGATATTTGGAAGAGTCATATAGAAATACTTTTTAGTCTCCATGTTGCTTATTGAAAAATAATAAGGCTGCTATTCTTGAAATATTTTTAATAAAGCATTCTCTCCACTTGATTTCTCATCATCTCTTAGTAGTTGTGGTGTAGTGAGACCCTCTTCACTTCATTTAAGTACTGATAGGGCTATATTTTTAGGTCAAATTTTGATAGCCATGGTCAGGAAATAGGAGAGTAGAACAACTATTCATCCTTTTCAAGACAATTAGAAACTCTGAAATCATTTGGGGTACGAAGATGAAGAAAATTTGTAGACCCTTAACAGCTACAGTGAAATACTAAAAAGTATTTCATTGAAAGGGGATGTACAAATGCAGGTGGCTTACACCTGTAATCCTAGCTACTCAGTAGGAGGCTGAAATCTAAGAATCGCAGTTCAAAGCCAGCCGAGGCAGGAAAACCAGACAGTGGCACAGTAGCTCTAATGGTAGAGCACTCACGTTGAGCTGAAGAGCTGAGGGACAGCGCCCAGGCCCAGAGTTCAAGCCCCATGACTGACCAAAAAAAGAAAAAAGAAAAGGGATGTACAAAAAACCAGACCTTCAGACCTCCAGCTTTGAAGCCCTTCCAAAATACAAGTGGGCTTAGAGGTCAGAGAGTTTTTGTCACTTTATCTTCTACCATGATAGACGGATTCAATGGCAGGGTCTGGCACAGTATTTGAAAGCATCACTGAGTTCTAAATTCAGACCTGGCCATCCAAGTCTTTATGAAGGTGTTTAAGCTTGCTTAAAAAATAAAACTGGGGCTGGGAAGATGGCTCAGTGGTAGAGAGCTTGCCTTGCATGCTTGAGGCCCTGGGTTCAATTCCTCAGCACCACATAAGCAAAATGAAAAAAGCCGGAAGTGGCGCTGTGGCTCAAGTGGTAGAGTGCTCGCCTTGAGCTGAAGAGCTGAGGGACAGCCCAGAGTTCAGGCCCCACAACCGGACCCAAAAAAATAAAACTGAAGAAAATCAAAAGCAAAACCTCTAACCGTTGATACCATTAAAATATTAGCTATGTCTTGTTGGGAATGTCCATGATTACTCATATGCTGAGTTCTGTAAGTATTAGAGGGGTAATAACACCATGTAATGGACAGATTTCAAGCATAAATAATTAATAATAGCTTATCTTTCTTTGGTGTCTTTTTCCATTTCAGTGTTTCCACAACTCTATTTTCATATGTTACGCCAAAGAAGGAAGGTGCTTCTTGGAGAGGTGTTTGTAGAAAAGGATGATTAACCGATCCCTACACACACAGTGCGGTGCTTTTTTTCCACAATAACCAGATTACTTGAGTCCAACTTTTAATAACAAGAATAAACAATTTCATGAAATACCATGGGTTGTACTGCTTATTAAAATATCACTTGAGACATGTGGTATTTGCCAATATTTGTCTTCAACTTTATGCTGTTTTTTAAAAATATATAACAATTGTACAAATCTTAGAGACTTGAAGTAGTTGTTGGTCATTTGGTAAATAATTGGGTATGTTACCTGGGATAAAGCTTTTGTTTTACTGATTTGTTTTGACAGCATATGCTAACAGCTGTTAAAATCAGTATGCAAAAATTAATTTACTAAATAAAACATTGTGATTCTTGCCATTGACATTTATGTGATATTTATAAATGAAAGTAACTAAAAATGATAATAATTTACTAATTATGTATTGAAACCCACAATTTGTGTTTAATAACCATTTTTGGTAGTATGAAGATAGTTTGCTTTAATTCTTAGGTAGATGTAACAATATGCTGATTTACTGGCTGAGTTTAGAGTGAATAAGTAGGATTGCAACAGAAAAGGAATGTTTTGCTTACTGTTGATGTCTTAGCATACTTCTGGCTTCACATGTTGGGCACTTTATGTTCCAATCAATACGTAACATGGAATGTTTCAAAGTTGTGTTATCTTCTTTATTAATTTTCTTTTTTTTTTTTTTTTGGGTCCGGTTGTGGGGCCTGAACTCTGGGCCTGAGCGCTGTCCCTCAGCTCTTCAGCTTAAGGCTAGCGCTCTACCACTTGAGCCACAGCGCCACTTCCGGCTTTTTTCTTTTTGCTTATGTGGTGCTGAGGAATCGAACCCAGGGCCTCAGGCATGCAAGGCAAGCGCCCTACCACTGAGCCAACTTCCCAGCCCATTTATTAATTTTCTTTTCACGTAGAGATTGAGAGTTCAGAACAGTTTGGCAAGCTCATTTCCAATCACTTGAATTTTTAAGGTGCTATTTCTATTGTTACAATATATTTTCATGTTTCCTCTGCAGATGAATGTTTTTAATGAGCAATATGTAGTGGGTTACTACTTCTCAAAATGCTGATATTCGATGTGCTCTTACACTACTGTATTGTATCAGCATCTTCTTGAATTCTTTTCAGTGAGTTCCCCTGCCCCTTTGATATAAGACATTCACATATTTATCTCATCAAAATACCTATCTTGAGCCAGGTTTTGGTGGCATATGCCTGTAATCCTAGCTACTCAGGAGGCTGAGATCTGAGGATCATGATTTGAAGCCAGCCCAAGCAGGAAAGTCTGTGAGATCCTTATCTCCAATAAAATACTCAGAAAAAGTCGGAGAGGGCACTGTGGTAGAGCGCTAGCATTGAGCACAGAGAGGCTCAGGGACAGCACCCAATCCCTGAGTCCAAGCCCCAGGACCAGCAAAAAAGACGAAACAAAAAAAAAAAACATCTTGTGAAAGATATTTTAAGTCTTATTTCTAATTCAACTTTTATTTTTTCTCCAAGCAGCTATATACTTTTTTTAATCCCCTCAAAGTTGTGGATAATTTAAGTTTGATAAAAATGAAAATCCATTGAACTATTTGATAATCTATATATTTATACAGGAAGCCTATCTCAGCTTTACATTTAGTTCAGTATATTCTATAGTATATTCAACCAGTTCTAAACTGTCATTTGTGTAGAAAATAAAGTGTTAAATGATAGTTTGACTTTTAAAAAGAGAAAAAGTGTTTGGAATTCCTTTGCATTGTTTTCTGTGACCATATCTCCTTTTGCATTTCACCCTAAATCACTGTGACTTTTGGAATATGAGTCAGGGGTTAGATCAAATAGAGCTTGAATTCAATCTTGCAGACTCTGACATTTGAAAAACATATACTAAGAAACCCATTACTAGCAACTTGTGATTTTTATCTGGTGACATTCACTAAAAAGTTCTGGCTGTTTTTTAGTTTTTCCTAACGTCAGAGCTTATATTGCAAGTTTTTAAAGTTGTTTTGGAGGTATTAATTTGTATTAATGATTTATATTAATAAACAGCCCTGACAGTCATAACTTACAAAAAGAAACATGCTAAAACATAAAGAAGTTATTTTCACATCTGTAGATTCTCCCTCCTTTCTTCCCCCTCCCTTGCGTTTTTGTGGTGTTAAGGATGGAATCCAGGGCCTTTATCCATGCTAGGCAAGTTCCCTACAACTGAGCCCCCTTTCTCCCCCTTCCCTGCCCATTGTGCTGTCTTTCAGTTTATACTACTTTCTTAGTTTTCCCTTTGTCTTCCATGCTTTTGACATTCTTCAGGAGTTACAGGACAATTGTGGGCAAAAAGGCTCACAATATGTTTTGTAGCTGTTTCTTCTTGATTAGATTTAGTTACCCACTTTCCCCTATACACTGATTTGGTCCATCTCCTAGTGTTGCTAACTTTGATCTTTTAAGGCTTGCATTTTTAATAGTTTGATTGCAGAGTAACACCTATTTATGAAGAAAGTACTACTAATGTCACACCTACTAATGAAGACTTAAGTCTCTTGTTCTACTTCAAAGGAGTTTGAGTTGGCATTGGAATTTGAAATAAAAAGATTAATATGACTCTGATATACAAAGATGAATGTCTTTTTTAAGTGCTGAAAAAGCTCTGAAATCTTTCTATAAATGCAATTTCCAGGCATATTATTAACTCAACCTTTGTGTTGACTTTTATGCCATGAGGCTACACTGTGTAAAATGCTGTGATTAATTAACATAGTTGGATTTTGCTGAAAAATTCTATAGCATTCTGTTGTACATTAGTGCATGCTCTTGCCAGGTTATTCTGCCTTGTTAAAATCATATACAATGTGAACTTAAGATTGCTATAAAATATACTTTATTTCCTATATTTTGATAGTGATGACCTCCTAAATCTTAAACTCAACTTGAAAGTTAAAAGTATTTCTTAATCCATTTAACACTTCGTGGCTTAACTTAGATGATAATTACTGTAGAAACAGGTTTTCAAACGATGCCTTTTAAAAGACTTCTCTGAACACAAAAATCCTTCTCGTGGCTGTGGTGCCAAGAAATATAGCCTCCTTTTAGGTACTCTGAAACTTCAGCCACATTCTCAATACTCTTACTTAATGTGCATTTTTAGCAAGGTCTGTGTTAGATGGGTAATTTAGTCTCCTAGTACATTTAAGAAATGCTGCAAGAGAGGAATACAAAATCAGGAAAGACAATGTTGTACAAATGCCACATGCTCATCGTACCTAAGAGAATGAAGAGTCATTCTTCCAGTTTCTTATGAAAGTAAACACCGTAGTTTTAACTGTATTAAAAAAAACATAAGACAAGTATCAATTTAAAAATGTAGTCAGGGGCTGGGAAGGTGGCTCAGTGGTAGGGCGCTTGCCTTGCATGCCTGAGGCCCTGGGTTCGATTCCTCAGCACCACATAAGCAAAAAGAAAAAAAGCCGGAAGTGGCGCTGTGGCTCAGGTGGTAGAGCGCTAGCCTTGAGCTAAAGAGCTGAGGGATAGTGCCCAGGCCCAGAGTTCAGGCCCCACGACCGGACCCCCCCCCAAAAAAAATGTAGTCAGTTTTTTGTTGTACTGCATTTAAGGACTTGAAATAATAGGTATTATTACATTTTACACTACATCCAATGAGTTTTGGATATCAAAGTCATTAAGTGAATTGAACTATATAGACCTTAAAATGTTGCCTTTTTAAAAAAAATTAAAAAGCATCCACAATACTCCATCTTAGAAATAGATCAAGATTGCAGGAAATGTATATGCTTCTGCTTTTGAGAAATATACATGACAGAAAGTAATTATATTTTGCCTGGATGATTTTTAATTTAATCATAAGTTGACTAAAATAGGCTTGTGGCTAAATTAATGTGTTCAGAAGCTCATTTTATTGAGTTAAACTTTAACTGAACTTTAGTAAAACCCCTACAACAGAAATTAATCTCAAGAACTGAGGAAATGGAATGATTAATTTATAGTAAATGTGATCAAGAAGAAAAAAAACATCTTAAGAACACTTTTCAGCTCAGAGGATGTAGATTTGGGGGTAGCAAATAACATTTTTTTTTGCTTTTTTAATTTTGATTTTTTTATTGTGAAAATACTGTATGGAGGGGTTACAATCACATGAGCAAGGTAATGAGTACATTTCTTATCAAGCATTGTAGCCTCCTCCTTTGTTTCCCCTTCTCATCCCTTCCCATCCTCCTACCCCCCCTCACCCAATCCTCCCCCCCAAGCAAACAACAATTTTTTAAAGTTTCAATTCTAACATTGATATTTTGTTTTGACATTGAATTTATAGCATTAAGATGTTTTACATCTTTTTATGGGAAAAGTGTCAGGAAGCTCAAAATTTCAGAATGGACATTCTGTACAGGTGATTGATTCTCCGTAGTGAGTCATTTGAAGGAACAGTGGTAGGTTGATAAAAAAAAATCTATTACTTTGTGAAAATAGTTATTTTACAGGTGAGATGTTTGTAGTTATCTCATGAAGCATTTCTTTTGCCTTGGAAAGTTTCTTTTTATAATGCTTATGGGGTTATTGTTGAGGTACTGAAGATTGAACTCAGGGCCTCAGATGCTCTACTAGTTGAGCCATGTTCCCAGTCCTTTGGTATTTGTCTGAATAGGGACTCACTCTTTTGCTAGTGCTAGTCTAGAACACAATCCTCCTATTTACCCTTCACATATAGCTAGGATGATAGGCAAGTGCCATCTCCCCAAGCCTTTTCTTTTTGCCAGTCCTAGGGCTTGTAATCAGGGCCTGAGTGCTGTCCCTGAGCTTTCCTTTTTGCTCAGGGTTAGTGCTTTATCACTTAACCTGCAGCTCTGCTTCTGGATCTCCCTAGTTGTTATTGGTTGATATGGGGGTCTCAGAAACTTTTTTCCCCTAGGCTGGTCACCTGGTCAAGTTTACAAGGAAGGAAGAAGGGTTTCAATCAGATGGTGGGAATCCTAAGGCTGCACTGTGTGAATAACTGTGTTTAACAGGAGACCCTCTTAGAGAATTCCATTTTCTCAGCATATTAATAATTTATATGTGTGGCTCTAATTAAAGACTGTAATT